CCCGCGGGCTCAGGCAATCCACTCACCTCAGCCTCCCAAAGGCGCGGGATTACAGGTTGAGCCACCGAGCCCGGCCCTTTGTGCTCTTCTAATTAAACATTAAAATATTGAAAATAAATGAAAATTCTCCTCTAAATCTAGAAGGGAAAGAAATTAGGAAACAATTAAATCTAATGAGGAAACATCAAACAAATCCAAACTGAGGGACATTCTAGAACATAACTGGTCTATACTTTTAACGAAAGAAAAAGACTGAGGAGCTTTTTCAGATAAAAGAAGACAACTAAGTGCAGCCTGTGATCCCAGATTGGATTCTGGCCTAGAAATTTGCTTTCTCTTCTTCCATAAAAGGCACTACTCAGACAGTTGACACACTTTGAATATCTGTACATAGATCCTAGTATCATATCAATATTCATTTTTATAAGTGCACTATAGTTTTGTAGAAGAATATCCTTGCTTTTAGAAAATACATAATGAAAATTATTTCAAAGTAAAGTGGCTTCATGTGTGCCAGTGACTCTCAAGTATTTCAGAAAAAAAGAATGACATATTTAGAGCAAGAATGATGAAGCATATGTGATAGCATGTTAGCTTTTGGGGAATCTGGATGAATGGTGTGTAATAACTTTCTGTAGTATTTTTGCAGCTATTCTGAATCTCTGAATTTATTTAAAAATAAAAATTAAAAATAATTTGGTGGAATGAGGAGACAGGAAGAACGAGGCAGGTCTGCCTTCTGTTCCAGGAGGCCAGGTATGAAGTCCAAGGTGAGAAAGTTGCCTGCTGAAACTGAACACAAGGATGGGGCTTCTGGGGGGAAGCTCTTAAGAACCACAGCTGCTGCTTTGGTGTCAGGCAATTAGTGGGACCCAGAGTTTGGGCCGGGGGGCATTCTTTCCTTAGCCCCATGTCCATGTCCCTCTCTCCTTCTCTCCCCAGAGCTGACCTCTGTTATAGACTTGGTGTGTCATCATACCATGCCTTTCTACTTTTTCTGCACATACATGTAGTTGGAACAATGAACTTTAAGACTGAAATAGGAAGAAAATGAGCTGGGTTAAGGCAGAGGAATGTAGGTCAAGAAAAGCTCTCACTAGGGACATTTGTAAGAATTAGGAGCCTCCCTGGAAATGAGAGCAATTGCCACAGAAAATGATTTACACATTTAAAAGAAAAGTTTTATGTGTTTTTTTTTGTTTGTTTGTTTGGCTAAAGGAGGTCTGACTTAAATGTGCTGCTGACTTAACTGTCCCAGGGGGCCAGAAGGAAAATGAAAATGTGACCTCTCTCTCTATTGATTTTATTTGTCATGGCTCAAGGGAAGGGAAGAGCTTCCCAGCTGCAAAGAGACAGCAGCTTGGAGACCATATTTGTAGGAAAAAAGGAAGATGTAGAGGATGTGACCTCTGACAGAATGATAAAAATTGGGGAATGGCATCAACTAGTACAGGACATTAAAATGGAAGGAAAGGTGAGGGAAGAAAGATGAGAAGGACCTGGAAATCTTACAAGAGAACTCTTTGCTGATGCAATCCTGCTCTTAGTAGAAAAGAAATTCTAAAAAAATGTGGCTGCTGTTAAGCATACAGTAAGCAATCACACAATCTAGCATTTGTTTTCTTTTGCAGTAGTCTTAAGAAACAATGCTTAATAGGAATTAAACAACTGAGTGATCTTTCACAGCAACAGAGATCTGAGTATCACATGTTCTCACTCATAAGTGGACCTTGAACATCTATTGTAATGCTATGGGAAAGGGATCGACAGTGGTGGGAATCTATGGTGGGAGAGGACAGGGAGGGCAATTGGTGGGATTAATGGTAGTCAATATCTGTCTGGGGATGGGGGGGGGACACCCCTTTTCAACAAGGGTACCTGAACGATGCATATTTGTATACCTAACCCTTAACTGTGCCCCACAATTTTAAAATTAAAAATATATTTAAAAAAAAATAGGAATTAAACAAGGTTAATAGAAGCAAGTGCAGATAGGTATCATGCTAAAAAAAAATTGCTTCCTGTTCCTATTCCATTCCCTCTAACACTCTGTGCTTTCCAACCAGCAGCATGAATTGTGATGACTGGCAAAGATGGACTGTATATCCTAATAGAAGACTTTTATAAGGAGTAAAAATGGGTGAATGCACCTAATAAAAATTGACTTGGCCATCCCTTTTAGCAAGTGTTTGGTCCTTCTGGATCATGTAAAAAGATAACAAAAGGAAACAGACCTAGGCAATTATATGTGGACTAGATTTCTGCTTGGAGGATGAGTGGGAAGCAAAGAAGATGGAGAACCAATGAGATTAGAGCAATCAAAATGATCCCAGTTGAACAATTTAGAGTGTTGAGGTTTTGTCAAGTGTGGAAATAATTTTTTGATACCATTAAACTATGAAGAGGGGATTGGTTATGTAAATTATGACAAGTCCTTACAATGGAATGCTATGCAATTTTTCCTAAGGATGAGTTATTTCTCTATATTTTGACATGGAAAGGTGTCTGAAATAGAACACAGAGTTTGTTCTAGTTTTTAAGGAAATACCATACAGTGCATAAAATAAAAAAAGTACTAAAAGCTCAAATGCCAAATTACTAACAATACTATTGCAGGCTAGGTGTAAAGATTGTAGAAAGATTTTCAGTTTAGATGGTCCACACTTTCATATTCTTAAGAAGTTTTTAAAATTAATGTGCTATTTTTTTATAATCAGAAAAATAGACATTGGCCCTTAAAAAAATGTAAACAATTTTCGATGGCAAAAATTTTTTTAAAGCAGAGAAAAAAGGGGTTTTGTAGTAGATTATGATGGTAAATCAGGCTAAATAGGAATAGAAAAGCTTAGCATTTGTTAGAAAACAGAGAAAGAAGTGCTCACAGAGCCAGCCCATCCACACAGGACATGTGGATTCAGGCTGCAAATTGTTGGCATGAATGTTCAACATCTACCATGGACCTCCCTCCCCAAAGGTGCATGACTTGAACATCCCTGGCTGTACCTTATTCCTTTTTGTATCCCCCACCCTACAATGCATACCCATGGTAGATGTTCAGTAAATAATGGTAAACCAAGCTCAGAAGGCTAAGTAAGTGCATCAGTAAGGGAGAACGTGAATGAGCTATGAATCAATAGCGTTACTTTTAGAGGGTTTAAACTTATTCTAGGATAATCTCAAAGAGAGAAAACTGTGAAATAAGAGGATTAAAAAATATCCTCTGGCATCTGCCTCAGTGTGTTTGTTTTGTCATCCTTCAGATTTTCTTAACGAGACTCAACATATGTTGCATTTCATCAGTTATAGCTTTTCTTCTCAATTGTGTGTTCCAGCCCATCCTCCATCATAGCCATATCCTTGCAATACGTTTTGTCTTCTTTCTTCCTTCTGTGCCTGCCTTTATTTACTCTGTCACCACATTGACTTCTACACAGATTCTAGTGTGGGCTCTGTCCTTCCAGCCTTGATCTCTGCCTTGCTTTTCTTTTCCAGACTTCTTTTTCTATTGAAGGCACATGGAGAAATATCCTAATTCCATTTTGAGCTTAACATTTCTAGGTTCATGTCTCTCAGTGAAAACACAGCATCTCTTCTGAGTCATGGGTACAATACATAAATATCCATGAAAAATAAGTGCTGGTGCTGAGAGTGCAAATGGAAGGTTGTCAGTGGTTCTGAGCTCTTATTCTCTCAGGTCATAGTAGGAATCTGAGGGGAGACCAAAAAACAAAACAAAACAAAACAGGAATGGTAGATCAGACCATTCTGTAAGTTAAGAAGTGTTGTACATACTTATGTGTGAAGGGGAACCAAAAAAACCCGGAGTTATTTTTTAGGGGGCAAGTCCCTTGTAGTACAGGCTTCCCCCACTAGGTAAGTGTTCTAGGAACCCATCAGCATCAGTGTACCAGCTAGCATTATCGTGAGAGGCTGCATTGGGCTTCAGTGTTTCATTTTGTTTTTTCTTTTTTGGAGAGTCTTTCAACACGTTTGCCCATTTCATGATGGGTGATTTACATGAACAACCTGCCCACAACAAGCTGAGTGTTCAGCAGTTTTTGATCCCAAAACGACATGACTTCCATGCCCCATCCTCCTTATTCTCCTGATCTCACCCCGAGCGATTTTTTTTGTTTGTTTGTTTCCCCATGAAAAAAATCCTCAAAGGGAAACATTTTGGCAATGTGGAAAAAGTGAAACAAAAAATGGCAGAAGTACTAAAAGACATCAAAATCGATAAGTTCAAAACTGTTTTGGGCAGTGGAAAAAGCATCTTGATAGATGTATTGCCTCAAACGGAGAGTACTTTGAAAGTGACTGAAGTTTAAACATGTAGACATAAATACACAATTTTTAATAAATAAATTCTGGGTTTTTTTGGGTCCCCTCTCATATGTGTACACACTTCTCAGAAAAGTGTACATGCTTGAAAAATTGTGTGAATATTACCAGGGAGTTCACAGGCTATCTGAAGCCCACTTATACCCCAAAGATTATGCATCCCTGAAACTGATGCATATTCTGTTTTAAAATAGATAAAAAGAAATGAGTTCACAGGAAACTAGAATGTAACTAAGTATAAAAAAGCATATTTCTAGCATCATCTTCACACTTCAAACAACCTGGAGGCATAAAGTACTGAAGATAAAGCCAGACTGGAGTGTTGCGGTTAATAGCTTGATGTTAGAACTGGAAGGAACAGTTTGTTTGATAACACAACTTTTGGCATATAGATATACAGCCAAGTGAACTGAACACTGGCTACTTTCTTAAACATTTGGGGCCAGCTTACTTGGCTCTAGCAGTGTGTTTGTGTGTGTGTAAGAGAGAGAGAGTACATATGTGTGTATTTTAAACAGCTCACAGAACTTAAATCTTAAAATATATATCTAAAAGAAAATAAAGGATTTTGTCTTTAAATATTATATTTATTATATTATAATCTTTGTTCCTTTGGCATTATGAACACTAACATGTTAATGTTACTGATCCCTTTTCAGGGTGGACAAGCTTCATTTATACCATATCTGGAGATGTGTATATTGGTAAGTATGGGTATGTAACTTTGGGTTCAATTGCAACTTAATTTAAACTACTGAAGGGAGAAAAGATAGAGTGAAACCATTTTATGTAATCGAATGCTATGCCTCCTTCCGTCTCACACCAGCTCTCTCAACATAAAGCTATGCCCAGGGCAGGGTATCTGTCAGCTTGCAGAATATTCAGTAAAGGAGATTAATACGAACATCAGTTATGACATAGCCATTTCATTGTGACCTACATGCAAATAAAATGTCCAGACACAACTATGTGTGTTAATACCTCCTTCATACTGATAAAGGGATGGAGCTACAATGGTCTACAGTGGCTCCAAGAGGAGCAAGAATCTGCCTACCTTCTGGGAGGTGGAGGTAGGAGGTGAATTTGCAGTGCCAGTAGCCTCTGAGAAATCTCAAAGTTGGCTTTTTTCTGTCCTGAGGGTTATATATGTGTTGCTTGCTGAGTTCAGTCAAAAAAAGGTGTTTAAGACCTAACCATTATTTATAGATGAGGAATGTGAAATCCAAAGAAAGTTGCTTAGCTTTCTAGGGTTACCCATTGCTAGACTTGGGATCAGAAACAAGGGATCCTCAATCCGCTCCCCACACTCCACCCATATTTTTTGTACAATGACAAAAACTTGTCTTTTCACATCTAAATCCCTTAGTCAACCCAGCAGCAGAAAAGCCAAGGGACAGAGGTGTGGGAGAAAGGAGCTTGCAGAGCAGGCTGGCTCTTGCCTGCATCTGCTCCCACCCTTCCCATTCTCCTAAAAGCAGCCGTGGGTTCCAGGAAATGGCTCTCTGTGGGATTGGCAGAAAACAGCTGTAGCAGATGCTGTTGGTCCCACATCCACACCCCTGAGGCCGTATCTCCTCAGTGCCCACTGACCAACTTTGAACTGCCAGCATCTACACTGCTGCATTTCCTGAAGGCTTCTTCTGAATCCAAGTAGGGCAGAATGAAAGTGCTGGAGAACTAACATTTCCGGAAGCTACCTGACCCGTAAGGTAGGATAACTCTGAGGCCTATGTGAGAGGCCTTTTCCTTAGAGTATCCCCGTGGTATGATGCCCAAGCCATCCACAATTGGAGCGTGCTTGATGACATGCCTTCACCGTCTATTTTCCCTTTTTCTGTCTAACTCTCTGGATTTCTGGACTGTTGTTTCCTGAGATTACCTCCCAGATAAACTCCTTATACCAAAATATGTATCCCCGGCTATGCTTCCGGGGAAACCCAGAGTTTGAAAGCCAGCCTCTCGTTTCCCCCTCCTCATCTCCACAGACAGTGATGGGTGGTGTGGATGGGGGTGGGGCATCCCAAGAAATGGGCTAAGAATTCCCATTTCTGAGACCCTCTGCAGCTGGATGCTTTCTACCCACTCCTGCAGGGATGCCAGAGCTGAACTTCCTAGGACCCTAACATGACCAACTCCTTGGGCAATACATTCCAGACAGCTTGCTTGCTAATAACATCTGCTCAGGGCTAGAAGGCCACACACCCAGAGCTATTTAAAGCATTATTTATTCTCTAAAAAGGGTGCTCAACTGTCTGAAATTATTCTTCTGGAAAATGACAGTAATGCAAGCTTGTGTTTTTTATTTGTTTGTTATTTTTGAGTTGGGGTCTTACTCTGACACCAAAACTGGAGTGCAGTGGCATGATCACAGTTCACTGCTGCCTCGACCTCCTAGGCTCAGGCAGTCCTCCTGCCTTAGCCTCTTAAGTAGCTGGAACTACAGGTGTGTGCCACCACACCCAACTAATTTTTTGTTTAGTTTTTTGTAGAGATGAGGTTTTGCTATGTTGCCCAGGCTGGTCTCAAACTCCTGGGCCCAAACCATTCTCCCGCCTCAGCCTTCCAAAGTGCTTGGATTACAGGAATGATCCCCTGCACCCAGCCTCAAACTCAGATATTTTGAATTTATCCTTAATACAGTATAAATGGGCGTAGTTCCTGTTTCACTGAGTAATATTTCAATTATGGGTCAGGAGCAAAATTCATTTATTTTAGCACTGGGGAAAGTGTGAAAATAATTTCATAGTAGCAACATAAGTCTATGTGCACATGCATTATACTCTTTTAACCATCTGGAATAGATGAGGCATTATTTGTTTTTATTGTTTTCTGAAAATGTTGAGTATTACATAGTACTTTATAAAAATAGAGATAAAAAACATTTTTATGGAGGTAGTGGACTGATTTATGATTCAAGAGCAACAAAATAAATTGCACAAATGGAAAATAATAAAGAAAGCATGTGAATTTTAAGGTGGTAGGATACCAGAAATGTTTGTACAGAATGAGAAGAAGCAACAGGGAAGCAAACTCTCTGTAAAGGGCCAGATAGCAAATAGTTTCATCTTTGTGGGCCACATAGGAGGTTGCAACTACTTGGCCCTGCCTCTGTAGAACAAAAAGCAGCCACAGACATGCATAAACATATGGGAAGGCTATTCCAGTAAAACTTCATTTATGGCCACTGAGATGTGAATTTCATGTATTTTTCATATGTCATGAAATACTGTTTTTTCCTACCATTAAAAAAAGTAAAAATCTTTCTTAGCTTGTGTTCTACAAAAGCTCACAGTTGATTTTGGTTTAAATGACATTGTGAAGGATAAAGGGAAGGAAGAAAAATTAACAAGTAATCTTCAAACCTGTTTGAAGTAATAGTTACAGTCTTGTTTCCTGACAGACCTTTTAGTTCTAGAAGTTTACGAGTGAAAAGCTCTGCGATTCTCAGGATGAGAATTACCTACTCATCCACTTGTTTTTCTGGAGGTGAAGAAGAATTTTCCTGAGTCATCTCTACTCATTGGCCTGATCCCCCCTCGTGACCTTGGGCCACAGTGCAAAACATCTGGCAGGAGATAGGGCTGTGGTCAGTAGCCTTGGAGCGCATCTGTCCAGAATAAACTGGACTGTGGAGGGACTCAAACTCACAAAAGTGGCCTCTTGGGACTCTGCTTTAACCAATGAGTAACTGGCCAAATGACCTCATTTGAATTTTATCTCCTTCCCTTTCTCCTACCCATCCTCTAACAGGAGTGTTAATAAGAAAAACAAAAGGGCTAGGACAAATCACCATAGGAAAAGAAATGACAAAACAGAGATAGCTATTGAATGTATACTGACTTTTAAAATCTATAGAGAATCCAGAAAACGCTTTCTGCCTTTATTGCTTTGATTTTTACCTTGTTTATAACACTAAGATGGCATCAGTCAACCACAGATGACAGTAAGTGTTAAGCAAGGAATTGTCTTTTTCAGAATGTCAAGCACCTCCTTTCAGTTGGAGTAGATGTTATAAATATATATACTTAGTGTATTGGACAGGAATAAATGGGCTGCAATTTAGGTTGAGGAAATAATCTAGGGAGGCTGCACAGAGTGAAAATTTAGGGGGCTGTCAACAATATTAATTGATACAGAGAGGGCTTAAAAGATGGACACTGGGAAATTTAGTTGGACTACAAACAAGTGGTGCTTTGAACATTAGAAAATACTGGACATCTAACTAGTTGTCAAAGAAAATCAGACATTTTAAAAGTTCAAGGTAAGTAAGGTGAAGTCATGTAATTGTCTTTTAAGGACACCTTGAAGAAAAGAAGGAATAAACAGAGTTAAAATAAGTAGAATTAGCACTTATTCTAAGAAAGTATTCATTTGAGATTCATCTGAAAGCATTCATTTTATGCTTTTCAGGGATCTTCTTAATTTGTTACATTTGCTTTTTTCAACAATGGAGAGCCTTCTGAGGTGACTTTAAAATAATAGCTTTAAAAATTATACAGCAGAGAGAGATTTCACAACAGTCTTTTACTGAGGCAAAAAGTCCTTTGACCAATCCTTGGCTGGAATCTGTGCAGCAAATGATAAAAAAGAAATAAAAAGATAGTCAGAAAACCAATAGATTACATGGATACTAGTACTGAAGCCCTTCCCTGCAGCTGTGATGAAAATTACTTTGCACATTAATACAGAGGTCAAAAGATAGAAACTTCTTGGTGCAGCTTATCAGCTTGAATGCCAGTCCTCTAGCAGGACCAGTATCAAGTACATTGTTGGTATTTAGAAAATGTATTTAGAATCCTAAAAACATTTGTCTGGCTATTGAAATTAACTGGCTTATGAAGGCAGTAAAATGTTTCAAACTTATTTAAATAAGTAATTATTTATGCTTAGGTTGTGCTCAACCTTTTGCTTCTGGTTTTGTGTAGCATTAAGTTTGATATGGCTAGGCGCAGTGGCTCACACCTGTAATCCCAACACTTTGGGAGGCAGAGGCAAGAAGATTGCCTGAGCTCAGGGGTTTGAGACCAGTCTGAGCAACATGACGAGTCCTGGTCTCTACAATAAAATTTTAAAAAATTAGCCGGGTGTGGTGGAGCATGCCTATGGTTCCAGCTACTTGGAAGACTGAGGCGGAAGGATCGCCTCAGTCCAGCAGGTTGAGGCTGAGGTGGCCGTGAGCTGCCACTGCACTCAAGCCTGAGCGACAGAGTGAGACTCCGGCTCAAAAAAAAAAAAAGTTTGATATGATTCCTGGATCTTATAATAAAGGGAAAGAAACACATATGTACACCAGCAAGTCTCTTAATTGACCTCTATTTACCTAACTAACTGGATTGGCCAGTGTTCTTCATTCCATGGGAGGTGCATGGACACCCAGGATGATGCGTTCCTCTAACCTGCCCGTTGCTGCTCCCATCAGCTGAGTTGTAGTGGTCTTAAATACAGCTGTGTTTTTTCTCAATTTATGCCAGCTGCACCAATAATTGCAATTATGCAATTTCATTAAATGACATGTAAATTAACAAAATAAGTATAAAAAGAGTATTTATAGAACAACGAAAATGCTTTGTAAAAGTGATTCGCTAAAGAAAATTCCCTTGAATTAGTATGGGAGAGATGATAGTAAAAGACTAGGGGAGGCAGTTTCTTTCACCTATGCCAGCTCTGGCATGTCCCCCTTTCTTTTCTCCTCTCTCTCTCTCTAATAAACTTTGTTTGAAAACTTAAAAAAAAAAAGACTAAGGGAAACTAATAATCTAAAAGAATATAGGTAATACATTATGAATATTCTTGAAAAAGAAAGATAATGCTTCAATGCAATCAGCAGGCCCACCTTAACTGTGTTTCTAAAAATTCACAAACAAATCCACATTTGTTTTAAAGTAATTTACACATTAAATTACTTTAAAATAAAATGTTTGAGGCAGTTTGGCTGCCTTTTGCAATTAACAATCTCGATTATACCCAATAATAAGTCTTCAACTACACCTAAACTTGAGATATCAAAACCCATGAGAGAAGTACTGGAATGTGTGGAATAGAGGGTAAATGGGACAGCAGTTCTTATAAAGAGAAGAAAAAGAAAAAAGATGAAAAATGCAGAAAAGTTGTACAGCAATTAATGACACACTGAAGATGCAGCACTAACTTTAAAATAGGTTTTGAATTATTTTGCCCTTTTTGACTATTTAGGAAAAAATTTGCAATCAAATTGTTTTCTGTTAAATTTTCCTTAAGTGCACTATTACTTTTAACATTTTTGGCAAAGATTCCCAATGGAAACTATTTATTATCTGATTTGGCTCTATTTATAATGAAAGTAGTCAGAAACAATAAGATATATTTTTTGAGACATACTTATGTTCAGGAGATAACCAGATGGGTGAAATACCATGAAAATGACCTGGAAATGAAGATAGAATCAGTCTTTGATCAGATCCTGTTTTAAACATTTCACACCAAAAAAAAAAAAAATGGGTGCCAACAATATGTATACACATTTTAAGAAAGGAAAAAATTGTATTAAGATTGTAACACTCACTATATACAGATAACAAAAGATGAATACAAGTCGCATTTGACTTCTGCAATTACAAGAGGTGCTAAAAGTGGTTACCATCGAGTCCAGACACTTCTGATTATGGCAAACTGCGGCAAGATTAGTAACTATGCGAGGCCTCCCGGATCTTCCCTTGTGCACATCGCACACAGTACTGTGCACCTCAAACTTATCACTGATGTGTGCAATTGTTAGGCATGTTGGAGGTTCTGTTGCATACTCATGCCTCCATTGTCATTGTACTTCCACAGCGTTCTCGAATTTCAAATACCACTTCAAAATCGGCTTGCTCTTCTCATATTACAACTGTGCTTCTGTCACTTTCTTTGACTGTCCTGCCTGTCACATGGTGACACTGGCATTCATTTGATTAATGTCATCTTCTAAGCGAATGTCATACTACACATTACTACCACAATTCAATTCAACTCCAAAAGTAATATATAGATAGCATCTCTTAAAATGTGTATACTTTTTTTGGCACCCCGGTACAGAAGCTAAAGGTACACTTACAATTATTTAACCCGGAATCCTGAGTCCAGTATCTATAAGATAGGCTTGCCTTAGGGTGGAGCATCTCAAATGGCTTTTTTAATATTAACACTGTGGTTGCAAAGAGAATGGGCAGAAATGCATCCCACATAAAGTTAGGATTAAAGCCCTTTGGACAAGCTGAACTTTTTGTTTCTAAATTGAAATTTCCTCACAGACCAATGAACACTACAGTGGAGTAAGCTCCCCGATAGGGGGTGCAGAGAAATACCAATACAGAATTATTTTTGACATTATTCTTGTCAGCTCACTCCACTAAAACATAGTAAAGGGGTTTATGAACTGGGTAAATGAAAACACAATGCAGAATTTACCTCCCTGTTCTTTTCAAATGGAAAACAAGCCAGTTCCAGACTTTAATAATAGCAAATATAATCAACCAATAGATGTATGTAATTCCTAAATCTGTTATTTCTGAAATTGAAATTATTGTTATGGTGTTATGTAAATAACCAAATATGTGACCATATAATAAATGTATCATAATGGGTATTAAAACTAATGGGTGTTGTTTTTGTAGGGCCTGATGATGCACAACAAAAAATAGAACCTCATCACACAGCAGTACTTGGGGAAGGGGACAGTGTCCAGGTGGAGAACAAGGTAAGTATTTTATTTTCCTCTAATTTTCTTAACTTGCACTTTCTACTAGTTTCCAGGAAAATGCCTAAGTTTCTTGAATAGCTGGAAAATTTTCTTTCTTCTGGAAGAAATTATGCCACACGTTTCACCCCCTTTCATTAATTTCTGCTATTTCTATTGGTTCATTTTCAAGTTTTATCTATACCGAGTCCTCATCTTTAGGAATATAAATCCCCATTGTTTACTCCCTAGAAATTCTAATCTGGAGGCAACATGTGTTCATTGTCTCTTACTTTTCTTTCTTTATGCAATTGACTTATTTTGTTTTTAGCATATATGAACATACGTCAGTTCTCTAGAAATATAAATATGGATCTATGTACGTACTCTCTTTGAAAATGATCCCCATTTTAAACTGAGAGGAATATATGATGCATTTCATAGTCTTTTTGTGATGAATTTCTACTTTTTAAAGTTTCTGATATTTTAGGAGTCTTGAGAGTTTTTTTTCTCCCAGGTTTCCAAGTTTGTTTCTCATGTCTATCTCACCCCCCTTGGTAATTCATTCACCATCTTGTGAGTCTCTTAAGCCAGTCTGATTGCTTTGTGTCATTCTAATAAAGAAGATTGAGGAGACAATTGTGCAAAGGCTCCTGAAAAGACGAATTTTGAAAAGTGGAGATAAAGACTATTTCAGTGCGTACGTTACTGGTAGAGAGGCAGTCTGAATGAGTTTTGACCCTCCGACCCTGATATTAGAGAACACAGTGGATCTGAGGAATTATTAGATCTCAGTCCACCTTTCTGGCAGCTAACCTACTACTGCTTTAATCATCTGTAGCACCATCATGAACTATGAAGTAAACAGAAGAAAAAACTTGTGAGCACCAGTAAAATGCCTCTCTCAGAATCTATGCCCTTTAAAATTAGGCTGAACCATATGAAACTGCCACTTTTGACCTACAAAAAATGACAATTTTATATATTTCAACCCCAAACAAGAAAGAGGCATGAGAGCTACACATAGACCAGAACCTACTGATACCAAAGCCATTTGTAACATTATCTGGTTTAACGTGGCAACCTCTGTACTTCCCATACTACAACAGAGAACACAGTGAAGATAATAAGGATTTGGAAGCTGAAATAGAACACCAGAAAGAAGCAATGAGGGGAGTCAGAAGAACAGGCACAGCTGAAAAGAGTCAGCTGAAATCACTAATTAATTGGCAAGCAGTGTTCCTGGCTCCAGGGGCATCATTCTGTTATGCACAATTCTATAAATGTTGCTGTATATTGGCATAGCCTGAGCCATCAAAACCTCAGAGAGAGTTCTATTAAAAATTGATATTTTAAAAATGAGCATTTAAGGGAGGCCTGTGTCACTTATATCCACAGGACAGTAGAAAGTCCCCCTTAGATTACAACAGATGAGAGATTGTGAAGGTTTGACTCCTGGCTTTGCCACCTGTTAGCTATTGTAACTTTGGACACATTTTCTTTTTCTTTTTTTTTTTGAGTTGGAGTCTCACTCTGTCTCCTAGACTGGAGTGCAATGGCACGCTCACAGCCACCACAGCCTCGACCTTGCAAGTAGCTGGAACTACAGACCCGCCTAATTTTTAAAAATTTATTGTAGAGACAAGGTTTCACCAAGTTGCCCAGGTTTGTCTCCAACCCGTGGGCTCAGGCAATCCTCTCACTTCTGCCTCCCAAAGTGCTGGGATTACAGGCATGAGCCACCGTGCCTGGTTTGGACACATTTCTAAAATTCTCAGAACTTCAGTGTCTTTGTCTGCAACATTGAAATAATGATATCAACTGCAAGATATTGTTAGAAAGAGTATTTGAGATCACTTATGGCAAGAGTCTACTCCAGATTGAGCACAAGGGTCAGTAAATTTGTCCATTGGCCAAATCCAAACCTTTTTCATAAATAAAGGTTTATTGGATCATAACCACACTCATTCATTTCTTATTGTCTATAGAGTCTTTCATCTATTTTATTTTATTTTAATTTTCTTATTATAAAGATGTGGGGTACAATTCAGGGTTAGCTATACAAACATTGATTATGCAGATACCCTTGTTGATGAGGTATGCCCCTCCCTCCCCTAGCAGTTTCCCTCACGGAAACAGAGTACCATATGTTCTCACTCATAAGCGGAACTTGAATAATTATAATACTATAAGAAAGCATTTGGAAGTAATATTTCCTCTATTAAAAGTGGAATTGAGCCGGGTTCGGTGGCTCAGCCTGTAATCCCGCGCCTTTGGGAGGCTGAGGTGAGTGGATTGCCTGAGCCCGTGGGTTCGAGACCCGCCTGGGCAGCGAGACCTCATCTCTACAATAAATCAAAAAATCAGCCGGGCGTGATAGCGCATGCCTGTAATTCTGGCTACTCGGAAAGCTGAGGTGGAAGGATCGCCGGAGCCCAGCAGGCGAGGCTGCGGTGGCCGGGAGCGGCCACTGCACTCCAGTCTGGGCGACCGAGTGAGACTCCAACTCAAAAAAAAAAAAAAAAAAAAAGTGGAATTGAGTAGTTGTGACAGAGACTGGCTGACCCACAAAGCCTCAAACTCTCTGGCCCTGGACATTCCCAGTTTAGTACATTGTAGATGCCCAATAATAGTAGCTGGAAATTTTCCAAATCCAAACACCTAACTTAATGGGTAATCATACCACATACATGCTATCTAATAAGGATTCATATATTAGGCTTGAAGGCTTAGGGGCACACAGCTGTTCCTACAGCTAGAAAAAGGCCCAAAGAGGCCCTAATTCACTCAGGCTCCAGGCCAGGGTTATCCTCACTTGGTACTAGCCTCAGCCTGAGGATTCAACAAAGAAGGAAGACGTGACTTCTAGTGCTGCCCCTAATCCCATTTGCACTAAATTGTGATCAAGAATGAGGGGCTAATTCACTCCCTGGCTTCCTTCTGACTCTGTTCTTCCTGCACTTTCACGACTCGTCATTTTTGTGTCCTCCACCATCGTGCCCATCTCCTTGGTTGACTGGCCATATGGGCAGTTTTTTCTAGAGTAGCCAATCTCCAGGGCAGGAGAGGAGGGCAAGGAAGGGATGTTGTAGAAGATCACACCTCTTCTCTCTGCCCCAGGTTTCCCTGTTCCATCTTAGAATTTATTTGACCCATCTCAGGCCAGCACATGCCAGCCTGCAGGGCCCCCTGATTTACTCAGAGGTTGAATTAATTTTCGTGACCATTATTCTGAAATCTGTCATGACAGGTAGCAACTGCAGAGGTTTGGTTTATACTGGATTTAAGTCTTTCGGCCAGACCGCTTGACTTCTTGAAGGAAGCCCAAACCACAACAATGGCTTCAAAATGGACTTAATGTTTTCAGAGTTCCTATAGATTAGAATCTAGGCTACTCTGGACATTTATCCTGGGCTAGTACTAGTCACTCTGGAAAAGTTTCTGTTTCAGGGGCTATAGATCCCTGTGCTACTTTGACCCACAGTTAGTGTTCTAGACTTTCTCCTGAGTGATGGTTGCCCTGTTGGCTCCATGATCAGGAACACAGGATTTTTATATAAACGGCTCCATCTCACCTTAAGACCCATGTTTATGCTAGTATCTGGTTGAGAAGGTCTTAAACTTCATGGATTAGCAAACTCACAAGTCAAGGTAGACAATCAGTTCCTCATTGGCTGTTATCAAAACCATACTTTAGAGTAACAATGCTCTTTAACTAGCACTATTTATGGGGAGCTCATTAAAATTATAAAGATTGACATTTGATTAAAATAAACATTGAAAAGCAAAAATAAACACCCTGTTAGAGACAACCTTCTTGCTTATTTATGTATAAAAAGTTCATGATAAAGTAAAAAACTAATTTTTTAAAAACTGATAACAGTTTATTGTTTTATCTTTTCCTTGGCCTAAGAAGTACAAATAATACAGTCATGCTAAAACTCAGTTTCTTTCTGGTAATATTTCCAGGTAATATATCACTACAATAAATGTTATTGAAATAAAAACGTGTCCTTGGATTCATTCTCAGAATTCTGCCATCTTAAGATTTATATTTATGATCAAACTGAGTAGATATTCATAGTTTAGAAGTTATCAACATATTAAATGAACCATAGAACTTTCATCTGGGCTTCAATAATTTATTGTTGTTATCAGTGGAACTCAAGACATACTTTGGCAATATTATTATACTTATGGGATACTTATGGACTAACCAGAGCAATTTTTAAAAGTAAATTATTAAGTGAACCCAGAAGGGCCTAATTCTGTACCAGGAACTCTGAGAAGGTGTGCCAAAGTAAAAGACATGATCTGAGCCTCAAAGGACCATAAATTTTAATTGGGGTAGTTATACATGAAGCAGTAAATGGACCTTTGTTACCCTCATATGTTTTTTAACGTTTTTCGTCAAACCAATAAAGACATTGACTTAGAGCCACACAGGGCTAAGGTTTTAAACAGGTCTTTCACTTCTTTTGCTCTTGCATGACTTTCATCATTTGCCACTGTAGACAAGCTCACCATAGGACTTTTCAAAATGACAGCAAATGGGACTTTTAACCACATTAGCACTCTACTGACTATCTAGAAAGACTATCAGATTTCACCAAAGAAGGCTAGTTAAGGAAAGAAAATGTCAGCTGGGTTCACATTGACAGCTAGTTGGATTATGGATAAGTAAGGGGATGATGCATAAATAAGTATAGGCCTCAGACTGGTTAAACAGAGATTTTTTTAAAATGTGAAGAAGTGGTTAAAGCATCAAGTCAGTGGATGTAATAAATGACCCCAGCCTTGGGACTGTAGGGAATAAATTAAAACTTTTAAAGAAACCATTCTACCGTACACTCTCATTTATTTTTTTTAAGTTGAAGGCAGGGGCAGAACACATTTCTGTCCTGTAAAATATGGCAATTTTTATTCAATACTTGGAAGATTAAATAATTAATTGTGAATTTTTATTGAATCAAATGATAAATCTTCTGGGACTAGTAACATAATGATTTCTAATTAAATAGCTTTGTATTAGCAAAAATATACAAATATATGATATAGTAAAACATTATCTTATATATTTAGAAATATACTGTATTAGTGTATGGATGAAGTTTTAAACATTTTTGAAGTCTTTGTTTTAACGTACATAAACAGTTTGCCTTTGTTCTAAAGCAGATAAACCTAAGAGAAGCCTCAAAAGAAATACATAATGTTTGGTTATCTCTTAGTGAGTAACAAACCACCTTAAAATTTAGTGGATTAAAATCCCAAAGATCTATTGTTTCTCACAAGCATGATGGAGGGGTCTTCTGCTGTTTTCTCTGAGGTCACTCATGTGGCTAGCAGGCTGGGGGCTGGCTGGGCCTTGCTGGGGCTGTTGTCTGGGGGTGCCACAGTTCTGCTTTAGGTGGCCTCTCCACTTGGCTAGCTTGGGATTCCTCACAAGATGGCACTCACAAGACAGCTCGCCAAAGAGCTGTGAGAGCATCTGTGGAAATGAAGATATAAAAAACAGAAGTTAGGGAATCAGATAAGTCACTAACCAGTTAATCTGGAATACCAAGCACATCTAGTCACTGAAATGAGACCACAAAAGGGGAATGGACTGAGAAGTCTAGTGGAAAAGTCTGTAGTTCTGCAGCCAAGTGTCTGGGGAGGGTTCTGAGGCTGCTCTTGGTTGGCAGGGTTAACAGTCAGGAAGAAGAGCTGGATATGGCATGCAGGAGGATGAGGACAAGCTGGAACCTACCAGTACCTCTGACTCACAACTAACCACCATGTTGTCCTAACTTAATCAAATTGTCAGGGCACCAAGAACTACATGTAAGTATATATAAGAATAGAACTAAAGTTCTCCTTAATTCCAAATCAAACACCAATGTCTTTTTGTTGTTGTTCTTTTTTTTTAATTTTTAATTTTGAAGATGTGGGGAAACACCAATTTCTAATAAGTAAAATTATTGAAAAGTTTAGTATATATGATATACGTATGATTTTAATAAAAATAGGACTCACAGTTATAACATGTTAGTTCTCAAAATATTTAAATAAATTTATATAGTGAAATTATCTAATGATTGTTAAATCTGAAATGCATTTGATTATAAAACAATTCCTCAAACACAAATTTTAGAAAAAATATATTTTATGTTTCTATTCTTTTAATTTTTTAGAGCAAGAAAGAATCTGGCTCTGTCTTCCAGGCTGGAGTACAGTGATGTAGTCATAGCTCACTGTAGTCTTGAACTCCTGGGCTCATGCAATCCTCCTGTCGTGGCCACCAAAAGCAATAGGATTACAGGCATGAGCCATTGTACCCAACCTTATGTTTGTTTTTAACTTTTGAAATTCGTACATTCATTGTATCATTTTTTTTTTAAATACCAAAAGGCATAAAGAAGAAAATAAAATTTGCTTAAATTCCCATTACTCTGAAATGACCAATGCTAATATTTTAGTATGCTTCTTCCTTAACTTTTCAATATATAATTTCTTTATTTTCCTAAAAGTGAAAATTATTCTATATAACATTTTGTGACATTTAAAAAACATACAATGCCTTATGAATATTTTATTGCACACTTAAATATTTGCTAGGAAAATGAATTATAATGATCATATGATATTTCTTCTTATAAATGTATTATAATTTTTAAACCAATCCCTCATTTTTGGAGAACTTCCTAATTTTTGCTGTGATAAATAGTGCTACAATGAAGAAACTGTGTGAAGCTAACTATTCCCTTACACTATATTCCCAAAACTGGCCTTACTGGGTCAGAGGACAGCAGCAATATCAGAAGCTTTGAGTCATATTGTCCAATTGCTCTCTGGAAGGATTACTGCACCAATTTAAAATCTTCCAAATGTATAAGAAAGTGTAACCTTCCCTGTATCCTCACTAGCATATTCATATTTTTTTCCATTTCAGGGAAAAAAATCTAATCCTTAATATTTTTTTTCTCTTTTAATTTTTATTTTTAAATTGTGGGCTACAATTCAGGGTTAGGTATACAAATATTCACTGTGCAGTTACCCTTGTTGATGAGGTGTGCCCCCCCTTCCCCAGGAATATATCGATTACTGTCAATTCCAGGCCTCCCTGCCCCCGCAGTTCCCTGCTACTGTCATACTGTCAATCCTTTTCTTATAGTATTACAGTAGTTGTTCAAGGTCCACTTATGAGTGAGAACTTGTGATACTCAGCTCTTTGTTTCTGTGAGAGATCATTCAGTATTATAAACTCGAATTCCATCCAGGTTGCTGCGAAGCTCATGCTAATCCTTAATTCTAAACAAAAACTTTTAGAGACGTTTACATAATAGGAACGACCCTTTTGGAAGGAATTTTGCCTGAGCAGATGCCCTTGGATAGTCTGATTTTATAGGGTTCTACTTAGTGCAACATTTCTGGGTCATATTTTACATTCACAGTAATAAGTGTCAAAAGTAATAAAATATTTTTTAAGATTTGCCTAAGTAATCTTCCCTTTAAAAATTATATTGTTGCTGGGCACAGTGACTAAAGCCTGTAATCCCAGCACTTTGGGAGGCTGAGGAGAGAAGATTGCCTGAGCCCAGGGGTTCAAGACCAGCCTGGGCAACTTGATGAGACCTCATCTTAAAATAAAGAAAGAAATAAGCTGGGTGTGGTAGTACAGGCCTATAGTTCCAGCTACTTGGAAGGCTGAGGCGGAAGGATCACCTGAGCCCAGCAGGTCGAGGCTGCGGTGGCCGTGTTCTTGCCACTACATTCCAACCTGGGCAACAGAATGAGACTCTGACTCAAAAAAACAAAACAAAACCCAAAAACCAAATTGTATTGTTAGTGAGAAATTATAAACAGTATAGTAAGCCAGTTCAACCACAGAGTTTGTCATGAAGATGCTACCAGTTAAATGAAATCTTAATTTAAATTCTTCTTCCTTAATTTGAGAGTGCTAATATTTTAGGGGCCTGTACTTATTCTTGAGTTCTGATTGCTACTAAACAGCTTAAGGAATAAACATTTCCATATTGAATGTTGCACAGAAAATATTTTTGGAATTTATGTTCGGAAATAGGAACATTGCCCATTTGGCTAGCATGTCAATTTTAAATTTTTCCCAGTTTGACATCCAAAATAAGCCTGTTTATTGTCTGATGCTTTCTTGTTAACTTTAGGATCCCAAAAGAAGCCACTTTGTCTTAATTGCTGGGGAGCCATTAAGAGAACCAGTTGTCCAACATGGTAAGCCCAAAATGACAATTTTATTTTCTTACTATTATATTAAAAATAGTGTACATATTTACTCATCTATTTTGTATATCCTTAGTTGATAGAAAGATGCAAAGATGATTTCAAGCCTTTGAAAATATAAAAAAATTAAATTCAGTGTTTGTTTTCAAATAAAATCCAGTAATTTTCACCCATATAGTTTTCCTTTTTTTTAATTTTTAATTTTAAAGATGTGGGGTACAATTCAGGGTTAGATATACAAATGTTTATATTGCACCCCCCCGGCAGTTTCCCACTACTGCCAATTCCTTTTTCATCGTATTACAATAGTTGTTCAAGGTCCACTTATGAGTGAGAACATGTGGTACTCAGTTCTTTGTTTCTGTGAAAGATCACTCAGTATTATAGAATATAAATCCATCCAAGTTGCTGTGAAGTTCATAATTTTGTCTTTCTTTGTGGCTTTGTAATCTTCCATTGTGTATATGTACCACATTTTTTTAATCCAGTCCTCTTTCGATGGGCAGCACGATTTGTTCCATGTTTTTGCTATTGTGAACAATGCTAGCCGGCCTCGGTGGCTCAGCCTTTAATCCCGCGCCCTGGGAGGCTGAGGTGAGTGGATTGCCTGAGCCCATGGATTTGAGACCTGCCTGGGCAACTTGGCGAGACCTCATCTCTACAATAAATCAAAAATTAGCCAGGCGTGGTAGCGTGAGCCTATAGTTCCAGCTACTTGGAAGGCTGAGGCGGAAGGATCGCCGGAGCCCAGCAGGTCGAGACTGCGGTGGTCGGGAGCGGCCTCTGCACTCCAGTCTGGTTGACAGAGCGAGACTCCAACTCAAAAAACCAGAAAAAAAAACCAAAAAACAATGCTGCAATAAGCATGAGTGTGCAGGTATCTTCTTTGTTGATTTTCTTTTTCTTTGAAAATAGTGTATATGTATAGTATTATTAGGAAGAATAACTGGAGTTTTGTCCTGTCTCTCCATTTACAAAAATGAGGATTTTGTTTAATTTTTCCATCATCAGAGGAAAATATATATGAGGAGAAATCCCCTTCCAAAAAATCAAAACAAAACAGAATTGTTTTTTGGAAGGCAGGCCCCTTGTAGCACAGGCTTCCCCCGCAAGGTAAGTATTCTAGGAACCCATTGGCATCAGTGTACCAGCTAGCATTGTTGTGACAGGATGCATTTGGCTTCAGTGAGTTGTTTTTTGTTTTGAGGTGTTTTTTTTTGAGATTCTCTCAATGTGTTTGCCCATTTTATGATGAGTGATTTACATGTATAATCTGCCCACACTGCACGATCCACGTGTCCCACCCTCCCTATTCACCTGATCTCATCCCAAGCGGCTTTTTCTTTGTTTTCTTCATGAAAAATGAAAAAAGTCCTCAAAGAAGGGAAACATTTTGCCAATGTGGAAGAGGCAAAACAAAAAACGGCAGAAGCACTAAGAGGCATCAAAATGGATGAGTTTAAAAACAATTTTGAGGCTGGGCGTGGTGGCTCATACCTATAATTTCAGCACTCTCGGAGGCCAAGGTGAGAGCCCGCGTGTTCGAGACCAGCCTGGGCAACTTGGCGAGACCTCATCTCTACAATAATAATTAAAAAAATAGCCAGGCGTGGTGGCACATGCCTGTAGTTCCAGCTTCCTGGAAGGCTGAGGTAGAAGGACTGCCTGAACCTGGCAGTTCGAGGCTGTGGTGGCCGGGAGCGTGCCACTGCCCTCCAGCCTGGGTGACAGAGTGAGACAAAAAAAACAAAACAAAAACAATTTTGAGCAGTGGAAAAAGCATCTCGACAGGTGTATTGCTTCAAACAGAGAGTACTTTGAAGGTGACTGAAGTTTAAACATGTAAGAATAAATACACAATTTTTAATAAATAAATTCTGGGGGTTTGGGGGTCTCCCTCGTACATGGTATTTATTAATTTCTCTCTTTTTTAAAAAAGAAGCATTTCTTAAGTACCTATCACATGTAGGACATTGAGCATGAAACCATGGGAAGCACAAAAATAATGTTTTTGTATCACATCATAGGAAATTTCAGCCTGAAATGAGATATTGCAAGCTATTAGGAACTTCAATGTCATTTTTATCTTTGCCAAAAACAACAGTGATTTCAATACTGTCCTAGTAGTCTACTGTATTTTTAGTAAAAAAATGTGAACCTTTTAGGAATAGTATTTTTTGAAAGTTTCACTATTTTTGAAAAAATAGTGAAGTCTTTATTTAAAAAAATGAATAGAGGCAACTGTGGTACAGTGGAAATAGTAATGTACTCACAGGTAGAAAATCCTGACTTACGTTCTCATAACAATCACCTCAACTCTTTGAATCTTGACTTCTCCATTTTATTGTTGTTTGATTAAATAAGGAACATCCAAAAGCACTTAGGATGCCAGTTATTGTTTAGATAAATGCCTACAAAACATATGTTGACTTCACTAATTATTACATTTAACATGCATTGAAATCCCATTGTATTACCTTGCCTTGCGTGAATTCCTAGGTACAATGATTTCAGATAAGCCTGAGCTGATCATAAATTTAAAGAACACTGATTGCTTTTACATTTTTTGCTCTCTTAATAACTTAAGGGGGGGATGTTAAATTATACCCCACCTATCATGTAGCATTTGACCTCTGTTTTGCATGTTTCCTATTTCCACTCCAAACGTTCATTGTTCTTGCTTCCTTTGATCTTGACTGAAAAGCAATGAAGTACGGGTAGTTTGTTCTGGAAGAATCCTGCAGACAAACTGAGTAGGGTCATAATCTTTATTCCTAGCAACTAGAATTTAGGTGGGAAAATGATGTGTGAGTTAGGCAGTCTCCTCTGCATCAAGAATGAAAAACAAGAATCCAACTGAATTAGGTGACAGACCAAAGAGGTGGGACTGACCAAAGCCACCCTACACTCTTGTCATGTGAATCCTCTCCCAGTGGCTTGAAACACAGGGATGCTAGATACATATCTGCACATACAAATTCAGATTGATCACACCAAATAGATATGGCCGCTGAAATCTCAGTTACTGAGAAGCAAAGCATTTCGTTTTTGTTTTTGTCTTTTAACTTTAAAAAACTCACACATGTAAGCTTTTCTTTTACTTGTGTTTGTTTAAAGACAACCACAACCACCTCTCAACTGTTTGGAAACCAGTACTTGTCTCATAAATTAGCTAAGACCCTGGCTTCTTTAATCATTGCATGTCCTTAATTATGTGTCCACAGTCATAGGATGTTGGAAAATAGAAAATGACCTTAACTATGATGTATTAGTCATGCCCCTTTTGTAAATGAGGAAAATGAAATCCAGATATTTTACTTATTTACTTAACAGATACTTATATGGAATTTGTTATTTACTAGATACTGGTCAAAGTGCTTTCCTAATATAATTCATTTAATCTGCAAAATAACCCTTCAAGATTGATACTCTCATGCCCATTTTACAGACGAGAAAGCAGAAATACAGAGGTTCATTGACTTGCCTAAGGCCACATAGCTGGATCCACACTCAGGCTGTCTGGTTTCCAACAACCCCACCCTACTGCCTCTCACCATGCTGGTCACCCCTCACTTTGCCCTGTAGCTTCTCTGATGGAAAGCAATTGTTAGTAGGGCAGTTGGGATTCAAACCCTAGTCTCCTAACCCTGTGTCTTGAGCTCTTTCTACTATATCAAGCTTCTACATAATGAGAGATTAGATTTACACCATTTTATACAGGAGAGGGAGTTCAAAGATTTAATTAGAGAAGAGATAAAAGATGCAGTTTGAGAGAAGATTTATGATTATCAAAAACTATCAAGTAATTCTCTTGTTCATAACTCTTGTAATAGATCAATTAAAAATGTATGCCTTCTGGCTGGGCTCAGTGGCTCAGCCTGTAATCCCAGCACTTTGGGAGGCTGAGGTGAGTGGATTGCCTGAGCCCTCGGGTTCGAAGCCCTCCTGGGCAACTTGGTGAGACCTCATCTCTACAATAAATCAAAAATCAACTGGGCATCGTAGCGCGCCTGTAGTTCTGGCTACTTGGAAGGCTGAGGCAGAAGGATCGCCGGAGCCCAGCAGGGCGAGGCTGCGGTGGCTGGGAGCAGCCACTGCACTCCAGTCTGGGTGACAGAGTGGGACTCCAACTTAAAAAAAAAAAAATGTATGCGTTCTGGATTCAGTTTTCTTCTTCTTGAGAATTTGAGGACATGAGCTTCATCAATTTGGCTTTGGAGGGTTCCAAGCTTCTAATACTTCCCTGTATAACAGAACTTTGTTTCTCAAAGTGTAGTCCATGGACCAGCAGTATCAGCATCACTTGGGAGGTAAAAATGCAGAATCTCAGACCTCTCTCCAGACCTCCTGAATCAGAATCTGCATTTTAATAAGATTTCCAGGTGATTCATGCATACATTATAAATCAAGAAACTTGGCAGGCTACCCCAGAAAAAATGTCAAAATGAAAGCCCAGAAGTGCATGAATATACAGAAAAATAGTTGGGGCATGAGAGCAGCGCTCCACTAGTCCAAACTGTGAAGCGAAATTATGATGTGCAGGAATTTGATACTTGACCCAGTACCTGCTCTCATTTTCCAAGTTTTACTTCCCTTTCCCCTGTGTATACTTTTAAAAAGTGACTTCTCCAGGGTGCCTTCTTGGATTTATTATTTATTCTGCATAGGATGGCTCTCTCATTCTTTCCTATCTGATATAGTCCAAACCTCCATCTCCAGATGAAATGTCTGTCATGAGCCCCAGATCCATAGTTCCAACAGTGTACTAAAAAATATCTTGCTGGGAAGCCATTTTATCTCAATTACTCTTAACAATTGCACCATAGACTCAGCCTCCCAGGCCAGACACCTCTACCCCAGTGCCAAAGTCTTCTTCAAAAACTACAAATCAGATGGTGTTACTCCCTATCTAATTACATCCCTTCCGTAATTCTGTAATTCCTGATCACCTGCAGAATTAGGTCTAAACTTCTTCCTGTAGATAGCATCCAAAGGCCAGAAGGTTCTGACCAGAATGGTCAGGACCCCATTTCTTTTTTCCCTTTGATCCCTCCTTCCAGCCACTGTACCTTATCCTCAATTCCTCCGGCATGTTAATCCTGAAAATGCCTTTCCTCCATGTATGACTGTTCGAACATCACCTCCTCTGCGAATCCATCTTTTCCTGGATTCCTCTTCCTCCCCTTTCTGTGCAGATTCCATAGATTTTATATAGGTACTTTTATCCTTCCATGTAGCACACTGTTTTGTAATTATTTGTTTTCATATCTGTCTGTGTGGTAGATGTGAGGTCCTTGAGAGGAGGGAGTCTATCGTTCACTTGTCTTTCATCTTTATGTCTCTAGCTCCTAGCACAATGTCGGTCATTTAAAAGGCACTCAATAAATACTTAATTGATAGGTAATTGAATGAACGAATGAATTTAGATGCCTTCTGCGAGATTTTCTCTTTTTCTACTGGCATTCTATTTCTCACAACCTCCCCAAAGACCTTAACATCATCAAGGCATATTATCCTGTGTCTTCCTTCTCAAGTTTTAAATTATAGTGATCACCAAATCTGTGTTGATATGCTAACAATGGTTAAGAAGTTCAAATGTGTTATTTCCTCTAAGCAATACAGTTATATATTAATCAGAGTTCCCAGAAAAAAAAATCCCTAAGAGGAGGAAGGAATTTCATAAAAAGGTACATCAGAAATTCCTGCAGGTTGGAGGAAGAAATGTACTGAATGGACAAGTCCACTGCTCTCAAGACACCACCAATGCCATTTAAGTGCTGACCTTGTTTATCCAACAAATCATAGGAGTGAGACTGTCCAGTGCCCCTTTGACTCTACAATGTGTGAAGAAAAGGGAAGAAACAGACACATTGCCTCTTGGTAGATTAGGGAAGGACTTCTTGTATACCTTTAGCAAAACTTGAGTTCAGACCCAGAAATTAGATAAAGGGGTCAGCAAATTGTGGTCCATGGGCCAGATCTACCTATGGCATGTTTTTGTAAATGAAGCTTTATTGGAACACAGCCATGCCCGTTCATTTTCATATTGTCTGTGGCTGCTTTTGTGGTGCAATGAGTAGAGTGTGCTGTTTGACCCACAGAATTTAAAATATACACTTCCTACAGAAAAGTTTACCAACCCTTAGAGAACCCCCAAAATGATGCTTTCTTGACTTGAAATTTTTGTAATCTCCTGTTTATTGTCAAGTAAGTGCTGTTAATTTTCAGAAATGACTTAGAACTCTCATGTAAGTACATAGCCTCATATATTGCTTAGACACCAAATATGACAATAATTGCCAGTTCTTTGTATCAGTTTGACTTAATTCTTGACATCAGCTAATGCAATAAAAATAAGTACAAAAATGATTGTAATAGAAGCAAATCTAAGACTTTTTTGAATAAAGAGATTGTCATTGCTGATAAGACAACTGTAATGGGTGGGTGAAATGCAATTGCATTTATTTATCTAAAGTTTGTTCTTTATAGTCTATAGTCAGACACAATCCGAGTCAAGAAACTTGTATTACAGTCCTTGGGGACCGAATGCTGTGAAAATAGACTTTTACTGTTTAGATGTGTCTGGATTTTGTTTCAAATTAAGAACTACAGAAAGATATCTCATTTCTAGTGGTAGAGAAAGATATTATCACCCAGAACTTTCTGAATGTCTCTTTCTGCCCTAGGTCCATTTGTGATGAACACCAATGAAGAGATTTCTCAGGCCATTCTTGATTTCAGAAATGCAAAAAATGGGTTTGAAAAAGCCAGAACCTGGAAATCAAAGATTGGAAACCAGTGAAGAGCACAAGAGCAGGTCTTGATGCGTCCTGGAATGTTGCCGTTTGTGGCATCCGGCCATTCAGGGCACTCCCATTCAGGGCACTCCGTTTCTTAAGCAAACTTCGCCAGTGCTTCTAAAGAATTCCACACTATAGTGGTAATATGGTTTTTGTAGCAATGCACATAGGCTATTTCCTGGCACATGCAAATAAACCTAATCATTGCTTCTTTTAAAATCAGTGTTCTTTATTTGGACCTAAGTGACTAAGCTTCTGTTTTAAACAATCATTTTATGTATGTTTGCCTTGTTTGCACTTGTGTGTGGATGATGTTTTTGTGCATGTGCGAGTTTTTTGAAGCATATTGGATTGTTTCTGTGTGTCACTGGCAGCAGATGTGTGAGCATCTGAGGTCTCTTCCTAAGCAATCCTATTGAGATATGAGGGTCAGCACCATGTGCCGGGTTTCATGTTACAGGTTATCTGCTTTAAAATAACAGCAGTCTTGAGGATTTGAGTCAGTTTTTTAAACTGCCCTGCTATTGGTAGGGACGCAACAGGATTACAGCCAAGACTTCTCTGCATTTTCTGCCAAAATCTGTGTCAGATTTAAGACACATGCTTCTGCAAGCTTCCATGAAGGATGTGAAAAAAGTTTTAATCCAGAGTTGGGTTCCAGCTTTCTGTAGCTACAAACATTGGTGGCCACACCACCTACTTACAAAGCAACTAGAACCTGGGGTGTAAGGTAGAGAGATTTTCTTTGAACTTGCTGGACATGAAATGAATTTAGAGTGTTTTTTAATTTCAGGTGAAGACATGTCCACCTCCTGATTATTTTTGGAGCATGAAAACATTTTCATTTTTTTTCATCTCTCTCTCTCCCCTCCTAAGATTGTACAAAAAAAGTACCTTGCCTAATTGAAGACATTTCATTGGATTTTGATCACAACTGATTGCTTGTTTTTCCATGTAAAGTTTTGGGGTTTTGAACTTTCCTTCTGGAGAATGCCTTTTGAAACCATTTTCTTTAGATGCCTGATGTCAACTGCTTAGTAATCAGTGGATATTAAACTATTCAAAATGTACAGAGAGTGGGCAGTGATGAATATTTTCATGATGTTGTACGTGCAGTGCTCCAGTCATGAACATGGACCAGTGAAGGTAGGTGAGCTCAGTTTTTAATGTGATGAAGAGTCTTTTTATTGGCTTATACGGAGGATTTTCTTTCTTTGCCCTCACTGTTTTTGAAATGATATAAAAATACAGAATACTCCTAGTAGTGGACAAGATGTATCCTGCATTTGTTAGTGACTGTTCTGTTTCTTAGTCTTACTAAGTTTCTGGTCATGAGTATTTGAAGATGCTGGAGGATTTTTGTTTTCGCTTTTGTTTGGGGAATTTTTTGGGGGGGGGGTGTCAGAACATGAGCATTCTGGAATCTTTTCAGATGGAGAAGTTTCTCTTCGGTTGAATATGCTGATGGCACAATGGTATTTTTTGTTTGTTTGTTTTAAATGAAGCACTGATTTGTTTTATGACACAGATAACTTTGTGGACCATTTATTTTAAGGTCTTTTGTGAGCAGCAGAAATTAGTTTATTTCTTCTGCAAATTGAAAATTGCGATGCTTTTTATGGATATTTTCTATCTGTTTTTGCAAATTTCCAATTGTCATCATCAAGAAAAATGTTTTCTTGGAAGTTGTCTGTTTTTTTTGTTTCTTGAAACGTGTAAAATGCAACAATAATCATATCCAATAATCAAATATTTGGTTCTATAAGCCACACATCAAGTAAAGTGCAACAAATTGAGAGCAATTCAAAAGAATTAACTGGGATGTCACTGACAGCTAGCACAATATTTTGCCCATTTTAATGTATTTGTTAGGTATTTCATAGATTATGTATATTTTTAAAGTTTTTATTTTGAAAATGATTTGGATATCATTGTTTTGCCTAAAGTGGTACTAAATCATTATTGACTTAGAAATTTCTGACCATGAACAGACAATCAGATGTGGACTTGACTTTTTGTAACTGCTGTTTTAGGATGTGCCTTTTCAACAGGGGTGATATCGCCCCCAATAGGGGAAAATTGGTTCACAGGGGGTGAAAAAGTTTTACTCTTTTGATACATAAGCACAGATAGCATAAGATACATAAGCATAAAGGCTCCCGGTTGTGTAGGTGGGTGTTGATTTTTTTTTTAAAGGTTGAACACAGGGGAGAGATCGACAGTCTGGGGACAATGCCAAGGGAGGGAGAAAGGGTGGGACATGTAGTAACACAAAAGGTACCTGATCCTAAACCAGTGGATATGAGGACCAGTTGGAGGCCCAAACTTCACCTGCACACACATTACTTATGTACCTAATCCTGACTTGTACTCCACATCTTTATAATAAAATAAAGTTAAAAAAAATTGAACAACACAGAGGTAGAGATAGAGAGTCACCTTGTCTAGCATCTGACACCTTTCTAACTTTTCAGATTCCAAAGGTACATGGAACAAATCACAATTTTGGGGCTCCATTTCACTGCCACCAGCTTTGATATTAGATCTCAAGGTGAGATTGTAGGTAAAAGGGAATCTGATTTTGAGCGTAGGGAACAGGAGAAAAAAATCTGACTTGTATGAAGGAAAGTAAAACTTTTCAGCCGTCTAGCTTTTATGTAAGTTCACAAAACTTGGGAGTCCTTTAGATCTGCTGGACTCTGGGCTCGTTGAGTTTTAAAATGTTTCCAAGAGAAGAGACTCTGAATTGTTGGAAATAATGAATATTCTTTAACTTGTTCAGCTCTTTTAAAGAGCACAAGCACCAAGAATTCTTCAGGTACTCCGGGCATTGTGAAGTTCAAAAGGTTTTGAATTTACTATTAACATGTACATTTGTTTTAATGGGACACTGGAGGAAAGCAGGTACATTTGCATGTGACAGAAAACAAGTCCTTATGCGGAAGATGCAGCATTACGCACTTACCAATACTATCAACAGATTTTTCTTTATTCTTTTCTTCTCCTCCTCCTCCTCCTCCTCCTTCTTCTTCTTCTTCCTCTTCTTCTTCTTCTTCTTCCTCTTCCTCTTCTTCTTCTCTCTCTCTCTCTCTCTCTCTCTCTCTCTCTCTCTCTCTCTCTCTCTCGCCCTCCCTCCCTCCCTCCTTCCCTCCCCCCGCCTCTCTCTCTCTCTGAGAGGACTGAGGTGCACCTTCCATATTTAATTCCAGGACGCAGACCCACTTGTACTTTCTGTTCTATATCTACTTCCAAAGTCATATTCAGGAAAGTCCACTGACTTTGTTGCTAGTTAAATGGTTCAAGGCACTCTTGTCCATTTTTTTTGCCAGGTGCAGTCCTTGGCATAAAAGACAACTGAAATATTTTCCACTAATTTCTTCTTCATTTATGACCCTGTAGGTAAATGTGTTGGATGATATGGTTCTATGCACAGATCTGTTTTAACCAAGTTAGTCATTTATAACTGGCTGAGTGCCTATATCACTATAGCACATTGTTGGTATCCAAAATACAGTAGAAACCCCTGTATCTTACATGTTCAATATGATACTTCCTTGTATGACTTATTTTTTTAATTTAAAAAATCCCGATTTAGGAGTCAGTTGTGGTGGCTCAAGTTCGTAATCCCAGCACTTTGGGAGGCTGAGGTGAGAGGATTGCCTGAGTCCAGGGGTTCAAGACCAGCCTGGACAACTTGGCAAGATCTCGTCTCTACAATAAATCAAAAAATTAGCTAGGCATGGTGGTACATGCCTGTAGTTCCAGCTACTTGGAAGGCTGAGGCAGAAGGATTGCCTGAGCCCAGCAGGTCGAGGCTGTGATGGCCATGAGCATGCCACTGTACTCCAGCCTGGGCAACAGAGTGAGATTCTGACTAATAAAATAAAATAAAATAAAAATCCTGATTTAGACCTGTGGATAAACTTTTACTATAAACCCCTTACAAAGACAATTTCTGGAATGAGGTTGTAATACTCACACACACAGATGATTCCATTAGAACTCGAGGTAATAAAATCTGGAAATCCCAGTCATATTTATTATTACCACAATTGGATAGAAGTGTTAGAGAAATAGGGATGTAAGTGACAATAACATTGTTTCTGAGCACATTTGTAGGCTCAACTTTTTCTACCACTTAGGATTAGCAGTGAGTGGGAACTGTGTATAACAGGGAATGTGACTGAAATGAGGTGAAATATTTCTTTTTTTAGTTGTTTTCATGGTGGTATGTCCACTTTTCTTTCTTCCTTGACACTAGTTCTTATGGTTCCTACCAAGACACTAGGGTATTACACAGCAGAGACATCCTGAGGCCTCCCTGCATCGTGAAAGCCTTGGCTGGTTGTGATATTCTAGTTCATATAGAATCTCCCTTATCTCTCATTAGAACTTTCCAATATTTGACTATTCAATTATTTTTTTCAACAGGTATTCATTGAGAACCTGTTATGTCTAGGCACTGATGGAGGGGCTGAGGATGCAGCAGGAAATAAGACAATGTTTCAACTCCCTTGGAACTTGTATTCCAAGTGTGCTGGGTGGAGGTGGACAATACGCAAACCTGTAACATGTCAGGGGTGATAAGTGCCATGAAAAAAAAAAAACAACTAGGGGGAGGAGACACAGCAACAGGTGGAGGGAGAACTTTCTGATTCAGGTACATCTACGCATAGTCCTAAAGGAAATGAGGGTGACAGAGGCAATCATCAGTGCAGTGGCCATGGTGGTGGTGGGAAGTGGCTTGGGCATCTGGGTATTAGCCAGGGGCCAGTGCAACTGGGCAGTGGTGAGTGGAAGCCAGAAGTAAAGTTGTCGAGGTTGGAGAAGTAACTAGGGCAATCATGTAGGGTATGGACTTTATGGACACTACAATTTGAATTTTATGTAATTTTCTCGCAGAATGAAATATTTAAAAAAAAATTTTTCGACCATTTAAAAATGTTAAAAAAAATTATTTTTAGCTCCTGTCAATACAAAAACAGGCTGCAGGGTGGATTTGGCTCACGAATCATAGTTTGCCAACCATGTTATATATCATGGCACTATTTTAGTTTAATCATGGTACACGTCCATACCTGACATTTTTATTTGCTTGTGTATAAGTTTAACTGCTTTGTCACAAGCCACTAGAATAAAAGCTTTTGGAGAAGAACTCTTAATTGTCTTGTTCACTACAGTATCCCAATCACCTAATACAATGCCTGTAATAGA